CTTAGGCGTCACTTCACATGTTGTGTGTTTGTTTATCAGTGACACATGATCATCTATCGTCCAAGAAAACTCACGCAAACACAGGGAGAACAGGCTAAAGTGTCTCAATCGCCCCCTGGTGGCTGGCTACAGTATTAGCACAAACCCCTCCTCCTCCATATTAGTGGATGGGACATGGAGCATTAAGGTATAGCTCCCATAAGGTAGCTCTCATCTCACTGATCTTTGTTCCAAGTGTTTGATTAGTTATTTGATGCTACAAAAGCAGCGTGAAATGTCATGATGGATGATGTGTCGAGCTTGTGAATCTACTGGACCACGATACTGCGGCAACTGAAAGTCTTGAAACGACTTTGTCAGCACAAAATGGCAGCGTTTCTATCTGGAATATTTTTGGCTTCATTTCTATTGGGGAGAAATATATAGAGGCTACAGCTACAGAGGCAAAAAAAAAAAAAGGGTTGGAGAAAAATAATGGAAAAACATGAGGGAAAGGTGACACTCGGATGAAAAGATCAGTGTGTGTGTGTGTGTGTGCGCGTGTGTGTGTGTTTAATCTCCCAAACCTCCTCACACAGCATGGCAGGCAGCAGGCAGGAGATGGCACTGATGATGCTCGGAGTGAGGGGAGCAGGCGGCCCGCTGCCAACATAAATCAGTGTCGTGCCCTTGGGCCACACCTTGGCAGAGAGGAGCGCCACTAAAGCACTGTCCTTGCTTTCCAGTGTCTAAATGTGTGCTCACGGTGAACGAGGAGCAGTTTGAAATGTGATACACACATTTCGTTTCAAAGTGGTTCAGTGTAAATGCGCTTTGAGAGCAGTGAAACACTTGATAAAGGTTTTTTTTAAGGGCTTTTTGGGTCCACATGAGATGATTCACAGTGACAAATGTGAAGGTACAGTGAGGTACAGTTTTTTAATTGTTATATTGTTCTGGAACACTTGTTATTTTAATGGTTCAAATCCTCTTCATGTCCCAATAACATGATTATATTAAGTATAATTAAGTTTGTTAAGTGAAAATAATTTGCTGGCCAGTCTCCACAAGTGGCATAGACACACAAACACTGCTGAAGCAGAGACATCAGCAGTAGCAAGTTATTTAAAACAAAAGATAATTACAAGTCATGATTGAAGATCTTTTTATTCATCCCTTCTTTAAAGGGCAAACAGCAAACCAAACCTTTTTTTTTTTTTAATAACAAAGAATCCCTTTAAAGGGAACACAGATAAAACAAATGCAAACATCTTCCACACATTTCAGCCACGTCTTCATTTTTTAAAACAAAACAAATAAATCTTTGCCGTACTTCAATTCCACTGATCATTATTGAACTTGTAAAAGAAAAGGCGTTGATCTTAACGCACCGATCGAAAACTCACTTCTATTATAAAAAACCTTTCTTAAAATGTCATTAAATTAAAAAGCTAAAAGCAATTTCCAATGTTTCCAAACACGGCCGGTTGAAGGAAGCGAACAACTAAATATCAGTCTTTTGTTTGGCTGCCATTTCTTCTGGTGAATCACCGTCCGCCTCTCTGCCTCTGTCAGATCTGCCATTATCTCACAGGAGGAAGACGACTGACACACCAGAGGTCGGCTGGAGACGTGTTTAATTACCACACGGCCGTTTGGATGACTCGGACCGAGTTCAGCTGGCCAATGAGCGGATGTTACTGAGGAGTCTTCTGCTGTATTCCCTGTGGTCCAGTGGTTGGACTTCAATAACTGTTACCTTGACTCGAGTCTCGTCCTGAGGAGGGAAGAAACGTTTAGTCTGGATTTCAAGAGCAGCAGCAACGTCTGATGAAAAATACAGAAGATATTTCTAATGGATTCTAGCAGTCTGCTATTGGAGGGGTTGACCTATACCAGCTTACAGTGATAACAATAATGATAATAACTGTATTTGACTTTACATGTGGATAATTAAAGAGCATGTTACGATACTACGACCACCACTGGAGAACCAGGTTGTTTCCGCCTCTGAAATTCAGTTTAACGTGACTTTAATTACCAAGGTAAGTAGAGTTGTGACAGATTATTGTTGTTATTGTTTCAAAATTAAAAAGCACAACTAATGCCACATTACTATGAGAAAGCTATGGCTACACATTTCAGTCTCATCCAGTAATAGTCAGCGCTTCAAATTATGTATCATCAAACAGGGCAGAGGTTTCTGATTAAGACATAGAGCCATCCACTCATTTCCATTATAATCGCACTTGCTATGAGCGGGATTAATTAATCAATTAGCAATTCAGTCGGCATAACCAGCTTCAAAGAGTTGACACTTTCCCATTATCTCATATGTGATTCAGCACCTCTGTTAGTATTTTCAATTTGCATTTAACTTAAGATATCAGGCAAATTAAACAATACATGTGTCACGACAAAGGCTCCACTTGACAAAAGGTGAAAACATATCTAAATCTCATGGTTTCCCAAAGGATAGAATAGTGGCTGAGGGACTGTTCATTTAATGGACTAATATTCCACACCAGCACACATCATGAAAAGTGATTCAGTGGCCTGACATTCACCCCAATTCTCCAACTCCATTTCTGACAGTGGGGGGAGGTGAGCTTCTTCCCTGAAGAATTAAACTTCTACAGATGCTGGTACTCAAAACAGAACACTTGGGAGAATACCTTCTCACGCTGGAAACAAAAAGTCAACACACAAACCTTTAACACAACCGCAGAGAATTAATGAGATACTACCCTGAAAAATAAAATGTTACTACGCGGAAGAGTCAAATTATATAAAACAGAGGATCCCTGCGGAGAAGTTTGGATAATGAAGTAGTAAATAGTAGCAGTAAGATGTGAATACGTAATACAGCACGTTTAAAAACAAACCTTCAGCTTCTAGAGACGCTCGTGCTGGCAATGGATGAGTCCAGCACTGTGGTCCTGACTGAAATATCTCAACAACCTCTGGATAGATGGTCATGATACAAGATAAATGCTCCACAGAGGGTGAATCCTACTGACTCTGGTGATCGCTCAACTTTTCATCCATCTTTGAGGATCACAGGGGGAAGCTGGAGCCAATCCCAGCTGTTGGGCAAGAGGCGGAGTGCACCTGTACAGGTCACCAGCGTTTCACAGGGCCAACACACACACAAAGAAACATTCCACTCCACACAGACACACCCGGCCTGAGAAGCTTTCTCTGTGAGGCAACAGTGAAAACCACCGCACCAACGTGCTGTATGAAACTTTTTATCAGACGATCGGAAATGTCTGATCACCACATGGACTGCCTCTAAATTCTCTGAACACATTCATGGTTTCCAGACGATGCATCCCACTGACCTGTAGATGACCTGCAGACATTTCCTGCAGCGTCACCATAACGATAATGTCTCAACCACTTTCGGTAAGTTCATATCTCACTCAGGACACATTGCAATAACCTTTCATCACGTTTTAGCAGCATGATCATCTCTGTAGCCTGTGTTACAACTGACTGTCAGTGTGCTAACGTGCTAATCGTCGTTACTGAACATCCAGTTACGTAAATGATTTGAATGACAGCTTCTTCATTTTCCATCTGCACAGGAAGTTTTCACCTTCAGCCATGTGGAGGCATGAGTCACATTTTTCACATGCTGAGGGACAGACCTGGATGTGAGGTCTGCTAAGTGTGCGGTTTGTTCATGATATAAAGTGAGTGTATTAGGTGTCATTGTGTGGGACTCAATGGCCTGTCTGTTACCATGAGTCAGGAAAAAGATGGTGTCATCTACTAATGTATTCACTGAGATAAAATCGATTCATTCAGTTCAGACAGAGTTCTCTCACACACACACAGTTATTTTTCACATACACGGTCAAATAAATTCTGCAGACAACTGTTTATATTTGATCTATATGTACATTTGCCTGCCTCATAAACTCAACATTAATTATTGATGTGATTTTTTTGTTTTTACTGCACTGTGTTGGACAGTTAATTAAAACTTTTCCCTTGTGTTATTGTTAAAAGCATCTACACTTTACTTTCAGAGTTTTTAACAGTACTGGATGTTTGTACACTTATCTGGATGATGCATTCATCCTCTTTATGGCCTGAGTGTTGTAAAGAATGCAGCCACTTGAATGCACTTTTGTATTATTTTGCTGTTTATACTTGTTCTTCATCTGTTTTCTTACCTCTTTTGACTGTTTCTGTGTAAAACGTTTCAATCACAATAAAGCGCAACACAATTTACTGGAGTGGAAACCAAGATTTTTAAAAACACATTATTAAGTCGGGAGCAGAACCAAAGACTGCTGCTGCACTGGAATCACCAGCTGAACAACATTCAGCTGAAGGCATCTGTGTTTTCATATTTACAGTTGATGGAGAAAAAAAACCCTTTAGAGATTCGAGTGCATTGTGCTTTTAAGTTTTATCTTCACTGCTCTCCCCTTGAATAATTTTGTTTTATATACAAGAGACACAAAAAAATATGATCCTAAGTTCTTCCTGTGTCCCACTAAAATTGTGTAACTTCATTTGTCTCATTAAAGATCCTGATAATGCTATTTGATTCCACACATTTTTATATTTCCCATCTAAACACGAATGGAAAGAACTGTTGTGAATATTGATCAGTGTTTACAGAAGTCAATAGTGCAGAATCTGGCCCCTGTGATTATTTGAACATGGAGGTCATGATCACAGCGTGCTCTCTGTTGCTCTGACTTCTCACCACCTCCTTCACTTACGCCTGCGGATTCAACACATGAATCAGACAGTGAGCAGGTCAGTAACGTGCAGAAATTATAGTCATGGGTGGTTGAAATTCACAGAATGAGTAAACGCCCCTGAGTTAAAATAGTTTTGCAGTTTTTTTAATCAAGAGATACGATGAACAAAGTGGAATACGGTATTCAACAATTTAACATTGTAGGGACTGTGGTTTGTTGGGGTTTCAATTCTTGTCAGTTTCTTCTGCACAAAAAACACAAAAGATTTTTTAATACATTCATTAAAGTTAATTTATTAAGCAATAAGAGCATAATATAGTTGTATGCAAATGCCTGGGCACCTCTGAGAAACTACATATTTGATGATTTGTTCAGTGTGCGGTCTTCAAGATCTTGTTTTAACTTTCGTCATTTCCCTCAACTGTCATTTCTTAATGACATTCCAGACTGTGGAAATTTCAAGCTGTAAAAGCTTTGATATCTTCTTTTATGGCCTCCTTTGCTTTGCAGGCATCATTTAGCTTCATTTTCAAATCCTCTGCCGGTTGCTCGGAGGAGTCCATGGCTGTCGAGTGCTGCCACAAGGTTTAAATACAATTTTATGGGTTTTGGAAATGCCATTAGCTGACTTTTCTAAATGACAATTCTTGGTTCACCTTACAAGTCTTTACGAGTCAATTAAGGCCTAACTAGTTAATTTAATTCTGAGTCTTCCATAACGAGAATAAGCTCAAACAGTTGCACGTGCCACAATTACAATTATTATAATTTTTTTCTGAAATCTAAAGTGTGAAGAAAGGCCCATGTTTACGTCTTCTTGCTGAAGGGGATGTATTTATATTTTTGACTTCAAAAATTGGCAAAATATGTAATTTGCCCAGAGGTGCGTAAACCCTTGTTTTTAAAGAGAAAAAGCTGCATAATAATACTTCAAACTGCCGCTGTAACACTATTTACTATTCCCATTATTTGCCGGGTGGGGCCTCTGGCTTGTGATGACTGTCAGTCTATATGTCCACACTGTATTAAATTTGCTGTGTACTCATGTTCCTCAAAGGACAATTTACCAAGAACATTCGTGCTCCCAACTATTTGTTTTAAATGACCCCATGACTCTCTCTGTAATGCAGCCCTGTGGACAAACTATATTCCGAGCTCCACTTCTGGTACGACTGTAATCTCAGAAAATAAATATCAGTAGGTTGTTTGTTCTGCCCGACATGTCTGTATTGTGGTCTGTAATGAAAAATGCAGCCTCCAGCATCTGCTAGACGGGCTTCAGGCTTTTCTCTTGTTAGTTGGTCTGTAGCAGTGGAGCACTGACATTTACTGTAAACAGACAGTCAAGCTCATTTTACTTCAGTTGGTAAGATTACTCTTCATTGCAAAACATATTACTGTATGTAAAATTACACTTGAATCTGCAGGAAATGTGTACTCGACTGTATAAAGAGTGAATGGCAATATTTTGCCTGGACTTTGAGAAACTCCTTGAAGAAAAAATGCTGTGCTCCAGACCATGAAGAATGTCTCGTGAACTGTGCACAGCATCTCTTGCAGGTTTTCCTGCGGTCAGGACGCATACCATTCAGAGCGCATCCTACATCTCAATCACGCCTCTCGTCCCTCCGTAGCAAATTAGTTTCTGAATAATTTAGTTAATTAGGCTTCGACAGACAATAGCTACATGCTAATTAGCGCCTAATTAAGAGAAATGAATCCACAGCTGTATTTGTTTTATTATCCAAACTATACTGGCTATGCAACAACTCCCTTGTCATTGTGAACTAATTAAAATGATTTTGGATTCATGTTGTGTGACTGACAGGATGTTGTGATGACATTACAATTCTGCATCTTGTTTTGTCGCTTTACCTTCTTGGGACCAAAGTTCAGCGGAAGATAACAACTGATGGTCGGTCTTGTTGATATGAATTTCCCGGATGGCAGACAACTAATCAATTAAAACACAACACTGCAATGTACCATGCTTTTATCACCGGGGGAATTTTCACTTTTTCCAACAGTAGTATTCACTGTGTGTTCCTTGTCCAACTTAAAGTCACAAAACATCCCTCACACCTTGTTCTGCCACCAGTTCATCCTAAAGGCTGCTGCTCATCTCGACGTACTTTATACCAAAACACAAAATCTGTAACTCTGCAAGCAACCGAAAGAGGAAGTGCTAATTGGATCTGGCAAAGACAGAATCCTGTGTGGTTCATAAACATCAGACGCTTGCAATCATATGTCATTATTCAGTTTTTCCTGGGAAACTGAATTGCATCGTATCAAATTCTATTATGCTCCGGTTTATAGTCACTTACATTGTACGTCTCAATCTTGACTTTGTTTTTAAAGATGTGCGTCTTGAAGTGAGCTTTCTGGAAGACTTCATCAAATGTCGTCTCGTCCTGAGGAACACACACACACACACACACACAC